AAAAAATTCTATTTCGACAATTGCTATTCAACTAGATACATCCACATAATATACAAATGGTCAGAATATTGAGCCCAGTTAAATCAGCACCGAACAGACTTTCTCAAGTAATGTACAACTTTGACAGGGAATCTTGGCATAAAAGATAGTGCGAATAACTTGTGTGGGATATGTGCAGCCACTTACAACCAGACTTGGATAGGGGAGATAATCAACGGTTTCATCATAAAGAGGAGTAACTCAAGTCATAAACGACAACTCTCACACACAAAACCTGACCATCGTTTTAAATGCACGCACTAAAAAAAATTTAATACAATTACAGGAAAAAGTTAATGAGTCAATAAATAAAAGTGCCATTATAATCACTTGAACATTGGCGTAAAAAGGTGCGCAGAAAAATACAAATAAATTAACCTTGATTTGTTCAGAATAAAGTTGATCATATACATGTGATGACACTATGAGAAATCTAAAGGGGGACGATCTGTAAAACATGAGTAACAACAGAAACACATTGCACAATGTAGCATTATTTGTTCTGATATGTCCTGACTAATGATATTATATATGACGAGTTTAATAGAGGATGATTTTAAAAAGCTGATGATGATTCTAACATCAAAGAGATGTGCAGGGGTGTGACCAATTAAACACATACATGATAAAAATGGCACAATTCATTGCAAGACAGTCATCAATCATTTTTCCATACAGTACTCAGGGATCATACAATCACAAAGCAAACATTGAGCTGATGAGCTACTGAAGCAGCACAGTGAATGGAATGAAGACAACCAACTGTTTACCCAACATCAACATTTACTACTTCCCTCACGTTCTAAACTTTCAGGCAGACTACCAGCCACAAGAAATGAATGTAACTGTATCTAATGCTGATAAAACTATGACCTGTCCATACATAGATACATGATTTTAAACACATTGCACTATAAATTTACCTTACAATTAAATCAAGAACATCAACTTAAATGAAACATTTTCTTGTTGAAAATAGTGAATGATTAAGAGAAAGTATTATATTTTCATTTTTGTCTCAAAGACCGGACAGGACTTTGTGATACACAACAGACATACTACAATGAGAATCAAAGATTTGTTTGTATGGACCTAAAGTCTACTATGAGAATCAAAGATTTGTTTGAATGGACCTAGATACAACAATGAGAATCAAAGATTTGTTTGCATGGACCTAAAGAGTGGTCACTGAATTAGACAAACCTAAACAATGATGGCAGCCTAAGACAACTTGTGTTCATAAAAAAATACACAGGACAAGTTCAACATTAATAAAATAAATATATTGCATCAAGTCCAAAATTTCACATCTACTGTTTGCTATTTTACCCACATATCCACCCCTGGCTGATGATTGATGTAAGCATTTAACATTTGGAACTGTTGCAAACTAATTGCTAACTCTCATCGCTGTAATAGCTACATCAGATCAATATTGTAAATACTGTCCTATGCATCACCTCTTCCACCCACTTATCTAGTTGACAACAAGAGTAAACAAAAGAATAACCAAAACTACATTTTAATATGCATATATTTAGTCAGTGTTCAGACAACTACTAGTCTTTAGTGACTGATGTAAAATTAATTATCAGAATAGGGTGTACATTATTAATGCAGGTGTGTTGATTTAATTATCTTAAGAAAATATTCTAAAATTTAAGGGCTAACTATTTTGTTGGTTCTTATTTTTAGTGAAGATATTCACCAAAAAAAAAAAAAAAACTCCAGATGGATATTTGTCTTTGGTAAAGCAAATTTACAACAAATTTGAAAGCTTAATGCTGCCCAGCAAACTATCTTAAGTTATGAGAAGTTAGGGAAATATTTTTCTTGATACAATCACCACAGAGCAAATGATGATAACAGGGGCCACAATCAATACAAAACAGATGTTGAAAAGGGCCACAATCCCACCAAGTAAATAATGCAACAGGCCACAATTGTCACAGAAAAAAAGAACGAAAAAAAAAGATACTAGATGTACATGAAGTATATTGCTTGGCAAAAGAGGAATCACACAGTTAATGTCATGGCTTATGGCTAACAAAACAAATGCATCATTTTTTCTCATTCCATAATCAAGAAACAGGTAGAAGAATCAAAGGGAAATAATCTATAATAATAAATTCACAACTACAAAAATATTTATCTTTCAATATTTGTCTTTCTTTTTTTTAAAGCTAAGGATAAATAATGTATACAAGTTAAGTAGATCTAACAATACATCAAAAGCATTGGAACAGCAATCTAGCATTTATCCCCAGCAAAGATGAACATTCTAGTAGAAATATAATGCAACATTGTAATGTGAAATGAGCTGATCGCTAATCAATGACCATTATGCTATACATTGAATGAAAGAGCAGAACATTCCAACACATCAGGTTAAACTTTAAATAGAATGCCCAGTATATTAGTGAGTATGTTTACACAACATCACTGACTATGCTGACAAGACATACACGTGACTATGTCGCCTATATCAAGATAAACTAAAACGATGAAAAGTACTACTAAACTACAACAAAAAGTCAAAAACTGACTTTAGGTGCATAGATTGAAACAAATGTGATGACTGTTAACTTTATATCTTTTACTGAAGAAAATAGTTTAAACATAGTCAAAACTTAACCCCCCTCCCCCATTCTTTTAATAAACAAGAGCTAATTCAGACTCCACAACTATCAAATATTTCAAAGAGGTCAGAAAACTTTGTTGATTGAAACTTAGTAACATATTGTAAAATTAACGTTTACAAGTTGAATTGGACTGAGCTTGTAAAACAAAGAATCTTGTGAGATTTTTAGTGCAAATCATGCGAACATTTTTAAAAAAATCAGTAGTGGTAGTTGTGTTGGGATAACTGTACTCAGTGAAAACATCTACATTTTAGTTCAAGAGTTGAGTTAGTGAAGTTAACTGGAATAGTAGGACTTGGTAGTACGGCAATGACTGCTGACTAGAATACATACAACTTGATAGTAGCTAGTGGACAAAGGTACACATTCACACACATATTTAACACAAATGACAGGCTTTCAGTTCTGATGGACAAACACACCCAAACACTAGCAGGCCATTACAATTATATCAAGTAACTGGTGCACACAGGCAAGCCATTGAAACAATTGTATTTAATTGATGCACCAACACCATATACTCATTACACACCATCCAAGCAGTTTGAAACAATTGAGCTAACTGATATACAAGCAACACGAATAATCCCGTATAATTACATACAAGTATTAGCTCCTAGGAATTTTCTAATATATACAGATATAGCTGTATAAAATTATAAATTGGTACACATATTATACATATACATTTCTTAAATGTACATAAAACATACAATTTACAGTAATTTGATGGTAACAGTTAATATCTGAATATGGTTATCATCTGAATATGGTAACAGTTAACATCAGAATGGATTATGTTTAACATTGTCAACAGTGTAGCACTATTGCAACTATACACAAATATGGCTAGCAATCAAATATAGATGTCTATCTTTAAATGATTTAAACTATCTACCATGTTCAAGCATCTAGATCTACATCCAATGATCAAATCAAACTTTTATCTGTGATTCTGTGTAACTAAACACACATTACTAATGTTATATTCTAACCTACAGTTTGCACAGTTTCATCACCCCCATTATTAAGTTGTATTAGGATTTGAGTAAATATTTCTTATAACCTAATCTTGAATTGAACCTTCTGTTAGATGAACTACAATACCCAGTTCAATAAACAATTACATGTAAAACCCCTGGTTTCCTCTGTCTGTTGTGTACACCAGGAATTTATCATTGTAGTAAATTACATTTTATCCCTGTTATATTTCTTGTGTACACCAGGAGTTTTTTGTACCGTGGCATGGCATCAAACTTATCAAGCAATGTAACACAGCTGTCATGAACATACCACAGCATAAAATGGAACTTAACATGGCATACAGGAACATCAAGCACATACAAACAGAATAAAGCAAGCATCAACAAATGACGTAGATGATGAATCGTTGTTTGAGAGTCAGTTTCAACCAACAGGATGCTGAATGCCAAGCTGATATGTGTGGAATCAAAGTGGATAATGAGAGCTCACATCACTACAATAAACAGAAAGACTACCTAGCCAGATATCATATGAACAACGCTCACTGTGGGAACTGCCACATTCTTTACAGTTTATTTCCTGTAGTTCAGCCACAGGAAGGGGTGTAATATTTTCACAAGAACAATTCCTATCATGTTTAACACAATCTTAGAGAGCGCAATAAATTCAGACACTAAAACAAATAAATAAATAATATATGACACTCATGTTTCAAAATATTTGATTTAACATTAAAAAAATATGCAAGAAACTAAAGTTTTTACAGCTCAAATATGCCATGAATCAACTGCTTCTTGTTCACTTGGCATCTTAGATTGTATCTTACACTTTGGACCGGGCTGTTTGAAAACTATTACTTTGTTACTAGATGTTTTAACAACTTTACACACCAGGTGTAGTCTCAGTGATAAGCTGAATGCAAGCGCTTCTGTTGAGGACATCAATATGATGACACACAACAGCCCCACTGATGGTAAGGACTTCTCAATAACCTTAGCGTACACTTCCTGGTCTGTGTGTGGAGCCCTACACAACATCCCAGCTAGTGGAGCCCTACACGACATCCCAGCTAGTGGAGCCCTGCACAACATCCCAGCTAGTGGAGCCCTACACAACATCCCAGCTAGTGGAGCCTTACACAACATCCCAGCTAGTGGAGCCCTACACAACATCCCAGCTAGTGTAGCCCCACTGACTACAAGAAGGAAGACTTCTCAATAACCTTAGCGTACACTTCCTGGTCTGTGTGTGGAGCCCTACACAACATCCCAGCTAGTGGAGCCCTACACAACATCCCAGCTAGTGGAGCCCTACACAACATCCCAGCTAGTGGAGCCCTACACAACATCCCAGCTAGTGGAGCCCTACACAACATCCCAGCTAGAGGAGCCCCACTGACTACAAGAAGGAAGACTTCTCAATGACCTTGGTGTATATCGTCCTGGTCTGTGTGGCGGAGCCCTGAGACACCTGGTACGTCCTCTGCTGCTCCACCTGGTAGCCGTTGTGATAATCCCTCTGGTCCCTGCGCTCCTGGTAGTGAGTCCTTTGGATGTCGTTCTCCGTTTTGGCCAGCTTCATCTGACCAGACATGCGGCCGCTGTGTCCATTGACTATGACAGTCTCAGATGCAAGAGCAGTGGACACGTAACCATCAGATTTACTGAGCGGCATGACATTGACACCCTCGCCATGAGCGTAACGTGAGTTGTCATCCGTCTCCATGTCGTACATACCGTTAATGTTATCATAGTCTGACGCTGTAGAACCCGCGGGGGATTTTGTTGAGTCGTTGTCCTCTACCTGAGAAGACCTTTGTTCACTGATTGGTGGTATGGTCACGGGGAAAGCGTTGTGGGCAGTAGAGAGGGAGTGCTCGTACGAGGATGCCTGGCGAGGTGTGTTGCTGTCGGGGTACCTGGCAGATGAATCCATCTCGTAGGACCGCGAACCTTTCATCTGGTGCAGCTTGTTTGTGTTCTCCACATTGTCGTAGGAGGTGGACACTGCTGTTGCGGACTTAACGGAAGCTCGGGACCGAGTCTGGGGAGAGGGTTCGTAAGATGTGGTCGTCACCCTGGATGGGTGATCAAACGTCGTGACCAGCCTACGCGGGGACATTTCCAATGACGCCGATGACCTCATCCCTGAGTGTTGGTCAGATGACCTTGGCATCTCGTACGACTGCGACATGATGTGGTTGGGGCTGTTGGAGGAGGAGAACTGACTCGAGGGGAGGGGTGGGTTGGTGGGGGTGGTTGGTGTTGTCACGTCCACGCCCACCTCGTCCAAGTCGATGGGGGTGGTGAAGCCGTGCCCCAGGGCTGACATGCTGCCCAGCTCGCTCTCACCAAACGACGTCCTGGAGCTGGGAGCAGAAGTCTTGGAGCTGTAGTCAGCCAGTGACAGCCTGGAGTTGGTGGCCGTGTCGTAGTAGGAAGATTTGTCGTCTATAGAGTACTGGGACATGCGAGACTGCAAGGACCTCGAGTCGCCCCGACTCCGCGCCATCTCTGGCGTGCTGAGTAAATTGTTTCCCCCACTCATGCTACCCCCTGTGTTCTTCCTCCTCAAGTACGCAGCTTTACCCCCCTGTCTGGAAACATTTTTACGGAAATGTTCGTCCACCGTTTCTTCCGACCGCCGACCAATCAGCTGTTCCACGCTGGGTTGGATCTCCAGCCCAAACGGAAGTGTTGGAGCCTCGTTGACTTTAGGTTTCTGGGGCACTGCCAGTTTAGCTTTCTTCAGCTCCTCCATGCAAATCTGGAGTTGTTCTATCACAGCATCATTGTCATACACAAAATCTTTCTCAAGGTTGGACTGGAAAAATGTCAGGAGTTCATCCATCTGCATCTTCATGATTCTCCCTGGGAACACAAACACATCCATGAGACAAGTGTAAGCAAGATGTGTAACATACAAGAACTGGAATTACAATGACAGGAATTGATGTTTATATGAACGGATTATTTGAGAAGCCACCGATACTATGACACAAATTTCTACCGGTACAGTTAAAAAATATTTTAGATTTTGTTTAGAGAATTAGTACTTAAATATTAAACATCTAGTAAAAAAAAACAACACATTTTTCTAAAAATTGTTTTCTGAAAATAGACTTTTAAAAAAATTTTTAATAAGTTTTTACAACCCTAACCCAAAGTGCTTGTATACTCATGTATAGCTATAATCACAGGATTAAAATATAAGAGTTTATAGATTTGATATCAAATAGAACAAGAAAAAAACAAGACGTATGATAGAATACTAATATACAAGTGAGTGAAAGTGTATCTCACGTCTGTGAATCTTGATGATACAATAAGCCATGGCCACCAGCAACTGGTCACCATCCAACATGTGAATATCCCACAACCTCAGGGTCAGGTGGAAAGGTGTCTAAACAAGGAATCACATTTTATGTCAGGTTTCTAATCAAACAAACACATTTTATGTCAGGAGTCTAAACAAGGAATCACATCGATATTACATGTCTAATCAAAGCAACACATTTTATGTCAGTTGTCTAAACAAGGAATCACATTTTATGTCAGGTTTCTAATCAAACAAACACATTTTATGTCAGGTGTCTAATAAAAGAAACATCTATATTACATGTCTAATCAAAAAAAAAAAAAATGTCAGCTAAAAAGTGGTCTGAAAATTGTTTTGAAATACTTTTCTCTTGTTTCAACAGATTTTAAAATTAAAAAAAAAACCCCCAAAAAACGTATTAACTAATTACTTCAGTACTTTGTTTTTAAGATCAGACTTACCCTATCCAAGAAACATTGAAGAAACCACTTGATAGTATACAGTGTAGGATACATCTCCTGCTTCTCCTGAAATAAAATAAAATAGAGCGTTGAAAAATGTGTGCACATGACATTCAACATGAGGAGATACTAAAGGTCCAATATGTTTGGCTGGTTGGTTAAACTCTACAATAAGGTTAAGTGATGAATGACATTCAACATGTGAAGATACTAAAGGTCCATACATTTGGCTAGTTGGCTAAACTCAACACTAAGGTTAATCTATAGCCAAATGTTGATAATAGACCAATTGATCAGTGAACTGTCTCAACAACTTCAGTGCTGTAGGTTAACAGCATGACGGAAATAGACAGACATTACCTGTGAATGAGAGCACAGCTTATTCTCTGCATCAACCTGACAGCTGTCTTATGATTGACATGTAAGCAGTCATGTCATGAAAGTTTGTCACAGCATAGTAATACCAAACATCTTACCATGTGTCTCCTGACTTTGGGGAGAAACTTCTTCAAAACAATATCATGATGCTCTTGAAACCTCATTAACTTGGGGAACCCATGCATAAAAAAACCTGAAATTAAATTATGATTATTCAGCAAATTGAACTCAATTTTTAGTAAAGACACCTGCCCATTTGGAATTACAATTACCCAAAAATATTATAATTATTTAATTTTTTGAAAGTTGTAACATTTTTCAGTTTACAGCCAATATTCTAGTAAAGGTAAAATTAATTTTTAAAAAAAAGAGCATTACTAAAATAAAAAAATAAAGGGTTGTGATTTCTTTAAGATAATATCCTAACTTCATACAATAAAAGGCTTTTATTTATTAAATTATATTTATTACAGCCACTTTATTTTTCTTTTTAAAAACCAAAATTACATTGTTTAGACAATTTGTTTACTAGGTTTCTTTAATAGAGTAAATATAATTTATCAGGCATTTGTAAAATAAAAAAACAACTAAAATTAATTAATCATTTTTTATAATTATTTTCCTAATTGCACTTAATTACCCCTTACAAAAAACAAACAAATCCTATGCTATATTTTTTTTTTTACAAATGTACATGTGTGGGTTTTTGAAATTTCACTTTAATAATCTTTTCACAAATCAGCCTTGGGGCTAGTGTCTGTCAGCAATCACTACAGACCCAAAGTGAATAAATAAGTGAACATTTACCAATATAGAAAACAAATCTGTCAAGGGCAACCAACAAGTCAGAGAGCGAGATAATACATGTAAATCACATTGCCTGTATAACACAGAGTATTTCCATATTGTAATTGATTATTAAAATAACTGTAAGCTGTAACTCACCATGCATTGTGTGTTTAGGACTAACAAACAGCTGGGATAGGCCCCAGAAAGCATCCTGGTAGAGAGAATATGCAATAGTTCTAATTAAAACACTGACCTATAAATAAAACTGTAGTTTAAGCTTAGATACCTGAGTAAATGTTGAAAAACTAAGCATTTACAAACAATATAATTTTTTTTTAAAATGATCTCATATTAGCTTTTCATCATCTTTTCCCTTGTGCCATTATAGCCTTATGTCTGAGTCAAAACATCCAACAACCCCAACCTAAACTTAGCACAAAAAATTAATGTAAGGGAGATAACCACTAATTACCTCCTCATTCAGATACATGAGCAGCAAAGCAGCAATCTCACTCATACCCTGACAGTAGCCCACCTCAGTGTTGTACACAGAATATGCTGCCAGCACATGAAACAGGGCCTGTTGTCTGGAAACAAGGGACACAAAAATTAAACTACACCAAAAATACCAGGGGAGAGAATAAAGTTTATGTACAGTAAGTACACTGGCACAAGCTTTTGAGGCAAGAGTTAGTGAGGGATAAACACAACTTACTTGACTCCATATCTTTCTCTAAACATGATATGATTTCTGTATGTTCTGTTGACATCTAGATCTATCTGACGTATAGATGTTGATTTTGTTCTCGCTCGTTCACGCATTTTCTAGAAGGAAATTATGAATTTTTCAGTTAATTTAAACATTCAAAGACTGAAACATGCAACATGGTAAATATACTGAATTACACTGAAGTAAAATGAATAGAATATAATTTAGCAAATTACACACTATAATATTAAAATAAAAACTTTATTGCATGGAATTTAATGACATGAACTATACAGGCATGAAATTTAATCATACTGAATTTAATGATGTCAATGATGTGTGACTCACCATGTAAATACCTTCCTGTTCAGCCTTGACCCTGGGAATATTCAACAGCTTGGACCAAACTTCCCCTCGTACCCTGTCTGGTATACCCTTATAGACACGCCTTGTTAACTGTGGGGTTAAAGGTCAAATCTAGTGTCATAGTTATTATATTCAAGTTCACGCAGAATATTGTTAACAGTTTAGACAAGAGCTAGTGCCACATTGAAACATACTGTTAACAGCTTAAGATTAAATCTAAAGTCATTATATTGAAACCTATTCTTAAGTTTATAGATCAGATCTAGTGTCATTACTTGAATCATGTTGTTAACAGTTTGTTGAAGATCAAAACAAATGTCATTATAGTGAAGCTTAGTGTTGCTTATAATCCACTATAGTATGACAAAAATTAGATGGATGATTTGAGCTTAACATAAACACATTAGTACAAGCTAACTCTTCTTGCATACTTTTAAAATAAGTCTCTCTCCATCTCAGCTAAAGTACTGCATTGTACCCCATGAATAAATTTCTCCTACCTTTTCCCCTGGGAAATACTTGTCCCACCTACTCAGCATCTTCAGCCATTTTGTTGACCTTTCTGTTTCAACCAGCTTGGCCTGAAGACACACACAGTTCAAATTCTCTTTTTTGATGTCTTTCACATTTTACAAAAGTCAGGTTTATAATAAACTTCTAAGCTAGAATGTATACACTATACATCTTACATGTTTGGGTGAAGGGATGCTACAATTTTAAAATAATTTCATGTTCAGCAAATGATACATTACACTGATTTTATTTATTGCCAAGATTTTATTATGATACAGTACAATAGTTTATAAATAAAATATAAGCTAGTTTTCCAATGATGTGGTACCTGGTACATAATGAACTGGATGTTGATTATATTCATTCAATTGTCATTCAAGTCTTACTAGGTGATTTTAATTTTTATTAACATTTTAAGTTCCTTTATTACAATGGAAATAAGGACACTATTGGAGGAATTTAGGGACCCTCTCAACACTAAAAATGATATAATTAAAAATATATTATTACTGTCTGAGCAGATTCAGCAGTGTTGCAGACATTTAGATTACAACTATAAACTCTGGACTTAAGTGTTGCTTTTAAGTAATGTGTTTAAAGGATCGAGTTTTTTCATTTTATGATCAGCTAAAAATATAGCATTACACTTTATATTCTCAAGGAAAAAACCTAGCTAAGAATGTAGTGTTAGCTCTATAATTTGTCAATGAAAAAACCCAACTAAAATTGTAGTTATAGCTCTATAAATTCTCAAGGAAAAAACCCAGCTAAAAATGTAGTATTAGCTCTATAAATTGTCACGGAAAAAACACCCAGCTAAAAATGTAGTATTAGCACTATAAATTCTCAAGGAAAAAACCCAGCTAAAAATGTAGTATTAGCACTATAAATTCTCAAAGAAAACACAAACCTTCTCCTCGGCAGCACCCATATTTTTGGGCAGGGCGGTGTCACTAAAAGTAGAGTAAAATATATGTATACATTGACATATGGTATTGGTATATATATATATATATATATATATATATTAATAAACAGAGTTTTAATTACTGCAATCTTTTTTTTATAGCAGGACAGAGACACTAGGTACTGTACGTGGTTAGATCAGAATAGAGTTCAGTATCTCTACTGTTTTATTTTAAGAATTGTGTTGTTCATGAATGATCTTATTCTAGGAATTATGTTGTTATAATGATCTTATTGTGTGCTTCACATGGACAGTCGAAGTGTTTGTATCACCCTACACACTGGTTTAATGATGACTTCCTGATATGAGGCAGACACTGTCTAGACACCATGTCACTGTTGTATAGTGCAGTAAAACACAAAAAACTAGAAGTGCCACTTGCTACAGGGGTGTAGACAGAGTGCTAGCAGAACAACTACTGTATGAATAACATGGATAGCAGGAGACAAATGACTCACTGGATGAATCCATATCTGTCTGTGACGTGGTACACTTCAAAAGCTGGATCCTCCCAGGGATCAATCTTGGCGCCTTCTTCTCGACCCTGAAATCAAAGTTTTAAAAAATAAAATTATTAATGTTTGCATCACAATCAACTTTTTGCCTGTTAAATTGGCATTTTTTGAAGTAACAAAGTTAAATCAAGTAAAAATCTAAAAATGATTATCATCTTCATCATCTCTTCCCATTCGTGCCCAAGACACATGGGGCAGATGAAGTAGAGTTCATCTGTTTCAGAGATCTCAGCATATGAAGGGATAGTGTAGTCAGCGCTATGCCCAGCTGCCTTTTTTCCCCCCAACATGAGTTAGGTAGCCTACCCATCAGAGCTGGGTGGACTCAGGAACATTCTACTGACTTGAAACCAGATTTTAACTGAAAACTTTTGGGTTAGCAGTCTAGCCAAGCCGGCCCATAAAAATGTATATGGATATTTATTTTAAAAAAAAGAAACAAAAATTGTAAAAAAGTGTAATTCTCTGCATAACAGAAAAAAAAAAGACAAGACACATTTGTTTATACTAGTGATGGGACAGTCATTGACAATAAACAATTCATGAATTACAAGGAAAAACATCAAAGAAAAACAGCTTCAGTACTTGCGAAAAGTAAACAACATTTAAAAACAGCCTATCAATCAAACAGGATGATTCAACATCTGCCTTTAATGGTGTAACCCAATACAAGTTTACAGTTTACTTCATTCATATTTGAACTACATTTTGTTGTTGAAATACTTTTAATTTTAGAGTGCTGTGATTGAGTAAACATTTAACTTGAGTAAATTTCATGATTGTGGTGGGAGCTAAAAGTGCAAAGAGAGTAGAGTACACTAAATATGTAGCTTGTTCACCACAACTTATGTGGGCAGACTCAGTTGACAAGCTGATTATGTATGAATGGTTGATTCATTATTCACAGTCTTGTCTGCCCGTCTGTCTACATACCATAAGTCTTGACATAAAAAAGTGGAATTTCGGATAAGAAGAGCTGAGATAAAAAAGGTTGAATAAAAGATATAGCCTTACACAGACAAGTTTTATTACATGGACCAGTAGTTTATTACTAAGGTTTTGGAGACATTGTCTTTATCTGTTTATAACTTTTGTATTCAGTGGGTGTATACATGCTTATATATAGTAGATGTGTGTACGCACTTGAATTCAGAAAATGGGTGTACACATCTGTATTTAGTAATTTACTTTAGTATTTAAATGTGTAAAAATGTATTCTAATTTATAGATTGTAATGTACACGATATTTACAAATATGCAAAATGTTGCATTCAGTTGATGTCTGATGTACACACTTGTTTGTACTAAAATATTAAAAGTTTTTTCCCTGTTTTAAACCTTAAATACACATAGGTAATTTTATAGATTAAAATAAACATAAACTCTATACAAAAATAAACCCATATCCAGTGCATTATAATATACACTGTCCAGTGTTTTGTGAAATAATGAAAATAACTGAGGTTCTCAACTTCTAAAATGATAACCTTTCATACACAAAAATCTCAGAGCAGGCATAATCTACAGTTAGTCCCAAACATCACCTTTAATTCAAATCTATAGATAAAACAGTATTAACTTTATCGCTGGCTAAGATAGTCCAGCTCACTGCATATCATGAGCTATTACCTCACATGTCATTGCAAACAATTACTAGAACACAAGAGCCCAGCCAAAATAAGAAAAAGGGGAAAGAACTCCACACATCAAATTTTAACAACAACAACAACACAGGTGGCAGCAGAGTGTCCTTTCTATTTTAATAATGTAAACAAGTGGCTTATTCCCCCTGAAAGCCAATGAATAGATGCCTTATTTTTTAACAGCATGTAAAAAGTGTAGAGAAAAACTGGAGGTTGTTTGTACTAGACATAGACAGCAGTGGGGAATAAGGTGTGGAATCTCAACACATTCCCAGTGTGCTGGGACTGATCAGATGGTGTATCAGAAACAAAGTTACACACCAATCATTCTAGTTAAGCCTAAACACACAGTCGGCCTACTTTCAAAGCCTCAATTCTAATTTGTTCCTTTAAATGTTGGTAAAGGTAAACTACAGGTTTCTCATCAGGGCTCATCAGACAGGTTTAGATTAAGATAGTGAGTGAGAGACAGAGAGAGAGGGAGAGAAATCTATTTCATGCCAAGTTAACATAGAGGTGGGATAAAGGGGAAAGAACCAGCCCAGGAAAAAAAAGGGAAATAACTGGCAATGAGAAATGAATCCATTAAGATAGGAGAGAGAAGAATAGGACATGCAGACTTGCCTGCCACTGATAAAAAAAAGGTACTAGCTGTGATTGTGCTTGCTTATAATCTTCATTAATTACAACCATTCTTCTAATTAGTTATGGGAGTGCTATTTTTTTTGTATGCTAATTGAGAAAGCTTCTATTCAACATTTAACTGCATTTTACCAACATCTTTTCTTTATACAATTTTTTTCCACATTTAACATCAGTTTCCAACATTTAATTTGAAAGTTTTCATCCATAAGATATTTATATAAAACACAATACCTAACTACTATTTAAAAAAAAATTAACATCTTCTGCTACAGTTTCTCAAGTTAATCTTCTATTATTAACAGGTCGATTCAAAAGTTATTACCTGATCATATTAATTTATTTAAGAGTAAAATGAGATATTTTCCATGTTTGTTGACTAATGTTCCATGAAAATACATAATTATATAATTACATAGATTTAATGTTCCATGAAAAAACATAATTATATAATAACATAGATATAATCACTCAGGTAGGGATTCATATTATGTACTGTTTGTTAAGTTATTTAAATTACTAAACACTTGCCAGTTAGGGGATCTAATAGAACCAGCAAACAGGCGACCTTGCAGCACAGATTTACCATGTTACAAAATAGGGGAGATGAACAAAAGCATCATAAACAAAGAGAGGTAACTTAGAGAAGTCAGATAACTTACCAGATCATACTTGGCAACTATTTCAGCCCTTTCTTTGGCTGCTCTTTGTATCTCCTCATACTCTGCCAGAGAGGAACCTAGATAGATGATTTAAATATTTAGATTTGTCTAATAGGAAATTCTTCAGATAAATAAACAAACACCTAAACACAATGAAAATAGCTGTTTCTTTTTTCCTTTACCTGTGGATAAAACAGTCATGGTAAGGACTAGAATGTTACTCATGTAACAGCCTACTTCACACAACTAAAAACACAAGTGGTTTCATGTTCTTGAGCCATCTGGTTTACATACCACCTATCCTGTTTCAAATAGCTCAAACAGCAGAGAGGATTTCCTAGACTTAATTTATTTTAAATCCTTATTGTAACTTTTTTCCCCCCTCCTTGATTGTTTCTATTAATAAAAACTGGCGGATTGGATTACACAATTAGCCTTAAGAGATGTAGCAATACTTTAAATTCTTGTAATTACACTTGTACCAGTAACACAAATAAATGGAAGTATATCTCGGTAACAAAACATCTCTCATGCCCGTTTAAATTTTTTTATGAAGATGTCAGTTTGATGGATCAACTCCATCTTTAGCTGACATACCAAAGCAATCAACTTAAACTTCATTTAATGTATACACACTCAAGCAGTCTCATATCTGTCTTCAGTTGAAGGATGTGTAAACCTGGCTACCACACCCCACATGACAAATGTATGGGAAATCTGCCACTTTACAATAAGGAACACTTACAGGCTGAAAAAATATATTTCTTATTGTCTTACAGTGCAGTGTTTTAAAAAAAAACAACAGGTAAAACTGTATCAGCCATTTGAGAATGTAGACAAGTGTTGATAGTGGGTGTAGTTGAGCTTAAAAATAATGTGTCCTGCTTGAGAAAAGACATTATTTTCCCATGAGATGTTTTGTATTGGTGTGTGCTCCACATAAAGTAAATCTAGACGCTGGTTTATCCTGCTGAGTTGAGTTTACAACAGTCACTGGGAAAATAAAGTAAATCTAGACGCTGGTTTATCCTGCTGAGTTGAGTTTACAACAGTCACTGGGAAAATAAAGTAAATCTAGACGCTGGTTTATCCTGATGGGTTGAGTTTACAACAACAGTCACTGGGAAAATAAAGTAAATCTAGACGCTGGTTTATCCTGATGGGTTGAGTTTACAACAACAGTCACTGGAGAATACTTGAAGAAACAAGTTGCAGTAAATGTGTGCGCTATGTGGACATACAACAAGGCATTGGTTGATGTTTAGTTGGGTTTATGTACAACAACAGTCACTGGGAAATACTGGAAGAAAAAGGTTGCAGTAAATGTGTGCCCTATGTGGACATACAACAAGGCATTGGTTGATGTTTAGTTGGGTTTATGTACAACAACAGTCACTGGGGAATACTTGAAGAAACAGCTAAAACTTAAGCCATAAGAAATTTGAGCCCCCCCCCCCCCCCCTACAAACAAGAGAGTAATGGAAATCAAAGTATTCAATAGACACCACTTACTAGTACTAAAGATGAGAGTATCTCAATTGGAGATTATAGTACAATCACAAAACATCTGTTAAAACAGGTTATTTCATTTTTCAACTGTAATGTCATTAAACAAGAAAACATCTATCAAAACAAAAACCAATACTCTCATCCACCCTAACAACAAAATACTCTTTAATGTCTTTGTTTTCTTGAACATTTGTATCATTTAACTTCAGCAAACACACCTCTTTAACTGGCATACATTAATAATGATAGATGCCAGTGTCCCAGGGGAAATAATGCATCTCTGTCATGTCATGAGTGGGGTAACAAGGAACTTTAAGAAAGGACAACTCTGTTCTTCTCTTTCATTCACATGCTATTTCTAGTTCCAAGGGTGAGGGTTTAGAAGATTTAGAAGACAGTGAAGTTTAGAAGGGTAAACAAATAAGGAATGTTGCTGTGTACACAGGGGGGGGGGATCTAGACAGGACAAGGAAAAGATATGCCTGGTTTATGGGGGTTACAGCAAGACAATGTCACAAGGAGGTGGGGGGGGGGGGGGGGGGGGGGGGGTGGTGAAGATAGAGGGGTGAAGTGCGGCACTTGTAAGCAGCTAAAAATCAGCAAAATGTACAGGACTGACCTAGGGAGGTGGGGTGAAATGGGAGTTGGTTGATAGGTACTAGGGAGGGGGAATCTATATATATAAAGCAAAGTGGTCGAGTGCCCGATAGGGCACTTCCCGGCGCCTCAGGCGCGTCAAATTTGGCACGATGGTGCCTTGGGGCAATAGAACACGAGGGCCGGTGACGGTTGGCCGAAAAGTCTACGGAGAGGGGGTCAAAACTGACCTCGACTGACCGGCGCCTTATATGGGCTACATTAAGAAAAAAAAATTCCTCCGACGACCCCCCTTGAAATTTTGTGAGGTGGTAGGAGAACCCCTTGGGGTGTCACAAAAAACTCGGCATATCTGGGAAAACTTCGTAAAGGGGTCAAAACTGACCAGTCGTATTTCCCTATATAATCTTTGTATTTTATGGGGAAAACAGAGGGTCATTTCAAAACGGATTTTAGGGCACTTACCTTCTTTCCATCTGGCTAAGTTTTGGCATGCTTATAGGTAAATGGCTTGGCCGTAGGGCAGACATGTCGGTTTCACTCAAAGCCCTCGACGAGGGCTAAAAAGTGACCGCGAGTGAAATTCTCTTTATATGAGCTCTATTACGAAAAAAAATTTCCTCCGACGACCCCCCTTGAAATTTTGTGAGGTGGTAGGAGAACGCCTAGGGGTGTCACAAAAAACTCGGCATATCTCGGAAAAATCGGGAAGTGGGTCAAAACTGACCAGTTGTATTTCCCTATATAATCTTTGTATTTTATTGGAAAAACAGAGGGTCATTTCAACGCAGGCTTTAGGGTACTTAAACTCAGTATATCCGGCTAAATTTTTGCATACTCTTAGGTCAATGGCTTGACCTTTAGGGAAAACTGTCGGTTTCACTCAAAGCCCTCGACGAGGGCTAAAAAGTGACCGCGAGTGAAATTCTCTTTATATGAGCTCTATTACGAAAAAAAATTTCCTCCGACGACCCCCCTTGAAATTTTGTGAGGTGGTAGGAGAACGCCTTGGGGTGTCACAAAAAACTCGCCATGTCCGGGAAAAATCGGGAAACGGGTCAAAACTGACCAGTCGTATTTCCCTATATAATCTTTGTATTTTATGGGAAAAACAGAGGGTCATTTCAACGCAGGCTTTAGGGTACTTAAGCTCAGTATATCTGGCTAATTTTTTGCATGCTCCTAGGTCAATGGCTTGACCTTTAGGGAAAACTGTCGGTTACACTCAAAGCCCTCGACGAGGGCTAAAAAGTGACCGCGAGTGAAATTCTCTTTATGTGAGCTCTATTACGAAAAAAAATTTCCTCCGACGACCCCCCTTGAAATTTTGTGAGGTGGTAGGAGAACGCCTTGGGGTGTCACAAAAAACTCGGCATATCTGGGAAAACTTCGTAAAGCGGTCAAAACTGACCAGTTGTATTTCCCTATATAATCTTTGTATTTTATTGGAAAAACAGAGGGTCATTTCAACGTAGGCTTTAGGGTACTTAAACTCAGTATATCTGGCTATTTTTTTGCATACTCTTAGGTCAATGGCTTGACCTTTAGGGAAAACTGTCGGTTTCACTCAAAGCCCTCGACGAAGGCTAAAAAGTGACCGCGAGTGAAATTCTCTTTATATGAGCTCTATTACGAAAAACAATTTCCTCCGACGACCCCCCTTGAAATTTTGTGAGGTGGTAGGAGAACGCCTTGGGGTGTCACAAAAAACTCGCCATGTCCGGGAAAAATCGGGAAATGGGTCAAAACTGACCAGTCGTATTTCCCTATATAATCTTTGTATTTTATTGGAAAAACAGAGGATCATTTCAACGCAGGCTTTAGGGTACTTAAACTCAGTATATCTGGCTAAATTTTTGCATACTCTTAGGTCAATGGCTTGACCTTTAGGGAAAACTGTCGGTTACACTCAAAGCCCTCGACGAGGGCTAAAAAGTGACCGCGAGTGAAATTCTCTTTATGTGAGCTCTATTACGAAAAAAAATTTCCTCCGACGACCCCCCTTGAAATTTTGTGAGGTGGTAGGAGAACGCCTTGGGGTGTCACAAAAAACTCGGCATATCTGGGAAAACTTCGTAAAGCGGTCAAAACTGACCAGTTGTATTTCCCTATATAATCTTTGTATTTTATTGGAAAAACAGAGGGTCATTTCAACGTAGGCTTTAGGGTACTTAAACTCAGTATATCTGGCTATTTTTTTGCATACTCTTAGGTCAATGGCTTGACCTTTAGGGAAAACTGTCGGTTTCACTCAAAGCCCTCGACGAAGGCTAAAAAGTGACCGCGAGTGAAATTCTCTTAATATGAGCTCTATTACGAAAAACAATTTCCTCCGACGACCCTCCTTGAAATTTTGTGAGGTGGTAGGAGAACGCCTTGGGGTGTCACAAAAAACTCGGCATATCTGGGAAAACTTCGTAAAGCGGTCAAAACTGACCAGTTGTATTTCCCTATATAATCTTTGTATTTTATTGGAAAAACAGAGGGTCATTTCAACGTAGGCTTTAGGGTACTTAAACTCAGTATATCTGGCTATTTTTTTGCATACTCTTAGGTCAATGGCTTGACCTTTAGGGAAAACTGTCGGTTACACTCAAAGCCCTCGACGAGGGCTAAAAAGTGACCGCGAGTGAAATTCTCTTTATGTGAGCTCTATTACGAAAAAAAATTTCCTCCGACGACCCCCCTTGAAATTTTGTGAGGTGGTAGGAGAACGCCTTGGGGTGTCACAAAAAACTCGCCATGTCCGGGAAAAATCGGGAAACGGGTCAAAACTGACCAGTCGTATTTCCCTATATAATCTTTGTATTTTATGGGAAAAACAGAGGGTCATTTCAACGCAGGCTTTAGGGTACTTAAGCTCAGTATATCTGGCTAATTTTTTGCATGCTCCTAGGTCAATGGCTTGACCTTTAGGGAAAACTGTCGGTTACACTCAAAGCCCTCGACGAGGGCTAAAAAGTGACCGCGA